GTTAATGAACCATTAGTCGAGCAAATCCAGAGCAATAGGGTGGAGATGGAAAAGACGTGGGGAAGAGTAACGGCGAAAATTAAGCGGGAAAAGGAGAAGCGGGTAGAGAGGCAGAATGTTCGCGTACGTGACCAAATGGGTGATCTAAAGATCGGGACAATAGTGTACCGTAGAGTAGGGACCAACAGAGGGAAACAATTGTTACGATACGAGGGTCCATTCAGAGTGATTGCTATTAGGGAGCATAATCTACTAACGATCGAAAGCGTTAATGAACCTAGAAAGAGGAGAACGGTTCACATTGAACAATTGAAGCTCCCAATGATAGAACCGGAACATAAACTAACGGATTCGTAGTACCCTCACCACGTTATAACAAATATGTTTTTTTTGGTTGTCTAAGCAAAAATATGGTGTATTTTTTTTTTATGTGTAAATAGAATCATAGCAATACAGTAGAGGAAAGTGTATTATTTTTTTTTTTCTTCTCTGTTTTTTTTTAGGATTTTAAGAGTTCTGTTTTTGGAAGCAAGTGTTGTGTTTAGTTCTGTTTTTTTTTATTTCTTTGTATTATTGTATGTCTCGAGTGAGTTTTACTTTCTTTCAACTTTATACTTGTAAAAACAATTGTAAGGTGTTAAGACTGATAATCGTTAGCTCCGATCTAGGAATATCTAAGTTTCCGAAAAATCCTATTCGTAAACTGGTGGGGGGGAGATAAAGACCGGAGACCGGCGATATCAGCCTTAATACCGTCCTGAATGTAAATAAACATATGAAATGTATATAAGGAGGATTACTAAAGGAATAAATCAGTATCTTTTCTGAAACCGTGAGTGTTGCATTTCAAGCCCTTTCCTTTCTTTTTTTTTTATTGTTAGAGTCCGCCGACGCTTAACTTATATATATATGTATATATATATATATGTGAAAGGAGTTGCTAATATGAAAAGAAGGCTATTTGTTAAATGGATAAATATTATTTATATTATTAAAGGTATAGAGGTATTTTTTGTTATCTTTTCTTTTTGTAACTTAGGAATAATTTGAAATGTATGCAACACTACTGAATTCATTGACTGCATTCAAGTAAAATTCCAGTATTAGAAAAAAAATCTTAAGAGCCTCACAGTGTCATTTTACTGTCCTCATAAATCCTAATGAAATGAATTTTCAGAATTTAGATAAATAAAAATGACAATTTACCTAAAATTTATTTGATAGATCAAGAAAATTCGTATGAATTGAGTTAATTAAGGATACTATTGGGAATACCTATCAGTGGGCATCAGAAGGAATATCACCCCAGAACATGCTTGATCATTCCTAGAATAAAATTGGGATCATACAGCATTAATCATTCACATGGGAATCAAAAAAGGAAAACATTTCCATCACATGATTTATGACCCACTCTCATATTATCAGTAACAGAACATGATTCCAGGCCTCTGAACTAACATGGATGTGCTATGCGTAAATTTAGCTTGGTTTTGTTCAGAAGTTCTGGTGAAATGAGAACCACATGAAATATTTCTGGCATTTAGATTAAATTTAATAAGTCTTTTCTCAATCCCTAAATTGAAATAAAAATCTAACTAATTTCACTTATTTGAATATTTGAGTTGATTTCTTGTTACAATATGATTCTTAAGGCCTGAGTTCGAATAAATCTTCCATCCATATGGCAATGGATTTTAGTCGCTTTTAATCCTAAGTAGCTTCTAAAATGTGAACCTGAATGAATAGAACTGGAGGATAAAGGAGTTGTTTTCAGTTTGTAATTTTCAAGGCATGATTAGCACTTCAGTGTCCAGGAGATTCTTGTCAGTATTTTAAAAAAATAACAGCTGACTGAATCATAACAATTCATTTACAAATCAAAATAAAATTTAATTTAGCCACTTTAACAAGCTATTCATATATTTTGAGACTATACTTCAACTATGATTAGTTAACAGCCAAAGGGCTAACTCGTGCAGCTTTAAGTTAAAACTAACATATTGTTGTTTCACAATTCCCTCCGATATTACATAACTTACAGAATATTCAAAAATATATAAATACATTAGAAAGTTATTATATTACATTTATTGTAATTATCTATTAATGAATATTCTGTAAATAATATCAGAGAGTTAAGGGAACAACAAAATGTTAGTTTCAACTTAGTAACTCATGAGTTTGCACACGAACTACTAACTAATCACATGAGAAGGAGTTGATCGGGGGGTGCGGTCAAATTAATCAACCAACTAAACCAACTAATCACGGTTGAGTTATAATATATCACTGAGTCAGTTATTTATAATAATGTAAACAAACCTATACCAAAGTTATTGAAAGCATTGTCACATTGTTTATCATGGAATTTAATAAAAATTGTTTAAAAAATTAAACAACACTAAATTAAACAATACTATCAGGAGGAAGTGGAAAGGATGTCACGAGATATCTACCAATCATGGGATAGCGATGATAATGAGGAGAGCTGGACAACATTTAGAAATATCATTCTTGATGCCGTGAGACTCGTCTGTGGTCAGAAGAGCATTGGGTCAAATTTCAAGCGAACTGCTTGTTGAACAGAGGATGTAAAGAGAGCTGTTAAGGAGAAGAAAGCAGCTTGGAAAGACTTCATGAGGCAAAGAACACCCATTGCTCACCAAAAGTACAAAGAAAAGATAAATGAAACAAAAAGTAAAGTACTTCTAGCCAAGAGGAAAGCGTGGGCAGATCTGGGGCACAAACTTGAAGAAAACGCAAAAGAAAACCAAAAACTATTCTTCAAAGCAATCAAAGAAATGCACAAGTAGAGATGCACCACATTGAAAGGAATTAGGAGCAGAGAGGGGAACATTGTCTGCCGGGATGATGAGATAATGGAGAGGTGGAGAGAGTATTTTAAAGAGCTGCTAGAAGGAACAGATTAGAACCTAAACGAGATCCAGGTTGTAGAGGAGGATTCTTTAGAAGAGGACGACTACATTGATGAAGAAGAATTGCTGGAATCCATCGCCAAGATGAAAGTCGGCGGGACTGGACGGAATCACTTCGGAAATGATGAGGTTTATGGGAAGTAAAGGCCAGGAAATGTTTCTCCATCTTGTGAACCTGGTCTGGAAACAGAAGAAGATCCTGAAGGACTGGGAAGTTGCAGTCATAGTGCCAATATATAAGAAAGGAGACAACAGGGACTGCAACAATCATCGAGGTATTTTGCTCCTTAGTGTTCCCAGTAAAATATACTCAAAAATCCTAGAGGCAAGGGTCAGAAGCACCGTAGAATCCAAGATTGGAGAGGAGCAGTATGGATTCAGGAGTCAAAGAAGCACACAGGATCTAGTTTTCACTATGCAACAAATCACAGAGAAGATTGTCGAGAGGTGAAAGGAACTCTAAGTGTGCTTTGTAGATCTCTGCAAAGCCTTTGACCAAGTTAGGAAAAAGGATATAATTGAGGCTCTAGTGGAAAAAGGTGTAAATAATGGACTTATAAGGGCATAATTTTATAATCCATTTTATAATTTGTGCTGAATCTAGTAAAAATAAAACAAAAAACCTATCACTATAACCCTTGGGTCAAGGGTTTAATATTTTGTATGGATGTACGTACTGTTTTTAAGTCATTATTTATGGTTGTGCAAGATGATCTGGTCATGATTATGCACAAAAATTAGATATTTACCCAAATTAATGGTAACCACTTGGTAGAGGCTGAGACCACAGGAAGGTCTCCTGAAAACAGGTTTGATCAATGGCTGATGTAACAGGATAAATAATTATCTGAAACAGCCTGAATTTAACCTGGGACTGTGAGAATAGGAACAAAGTGTCTTACTGACCTTATAAAAATAAAAATGTTTAATATACATAAAAAACCACTGAATTAATAAAATTTAATGTAAGATAGTCTTAAAAAAGTCAATTGGTGACATTTATGTCATGTTTAAAACATGAACAAATAATTTCAGTTAAAATAAAAACTCATGAAAGTAAATTAATTTGTTTTTAAATTAAATTATTTTAGTTTAATATTTTCTCAAGCATTATAGAACTTCATTTGATTTCCATCGAGTTCAAATCTTGATTAATTACTCTATTATATTTTACTGGGGGATGAGAACAATTCCAGAAAAAAATAGGTAGATACTTAATAAAGAAGATAAAAATGTCATGTCATATAAAGTATATACAATGGAGACATAAATAACATATTTTCAAAACTTTATTATTATTTAATTTTCAGAGCAGGTATATTTCCATTTTATTATTATAACACCGGATTGCCTACTGTTTAGGATGTTTTTTCTAAATTTAAAGTAACTTCTTTATATTGTGAAAATTTTGAGCTCATGAATAATAGCCGATTTTATGGTTGATAGTTTTCCAATATCACATGACATATATATATATATATATATATATATATTTAGTTCATTTATTTATATTTTTTAATGTCAGTTTAAATTTTTGAGCAATTAAGGTTTTAATCTGGTATGTAATGTCAATTAAAAAAAAAATTATATTCAAAGCAAAACCATCCCATAAAAATATATTTAGAGTTTCTGTTTTTAAATTATACTTTTAAACTGAATGATCAAATTCAATATCAACAACACTTTGTTGTCCCTTGTTTAGTATTTTTATAAGTTGAGAATTTTATTTAAGCCAGTCTCTATTTTATTTTAAAACTTTATTTTTAGAGAAGCTTTCGGTGTATATGCACCATAGTTTTTTTTGTTTTTATTCTTTTTCTAATTAACTGTGAAGAATGTTAGTAAACATGTAGAAATTCATAACATACATAATATACATAAATAAATTAAATAATTTTAAGAATAAAAACTAGAGATACAAAATTATTGACTTGCAGATTCAGGCTCAAATTATTATTTTCAAAGTTTAATTTAATAATTTCATGATAAACAAAACTATTAATGTTTTAAGAAATTTTGCAGATTGGTTTAAGTGGTTATATTGTAAAAATAAATGAATAATTTAATTTAAAAAACAGGCATTTACTTTATTTGGCTATATTACACAATCTTTACATAATTTGTGGCAAAACCATACATGCTGTTATATAAATTAAACAGTCCAAACAATCATCAAAATTATCATAGAAATGAGAAGGATAAAGTCTGAAATGTTTACATATAGATATAAAATGTTTATTAAGTAGCATTATTAACATCCATTAATGTGTATGTTTCATTATGATTTACATAAGAGTAATATTATTTGGTCAGGCAAGGAAAATTACTTATAATCCTCCATAGTTCAAACAGAAACATATAACTGTTCGACATAATACTGACATTTCTCAAGATGTAATAATGAAGAAATACATACACATTTATGCTTAGAAACATATACACAAAACTCTTGTCACACATACATATTCATAACCATTTACATATTTATTTACACAGCAGAATATCTGTTAAAATACAAGAATTAATAATTCATCAGATAGAATACTCTAGGAAATAGATTTACTACGAGTAAAAACAGTGAGTAAATGTACTTTGCCACTTGGGGTTTTCACTAATATAAAACATTTAAACTCAACAATCAATACATTCATTACTTTTAAATTTATTTATTTTTTTGAAAAGATTTTAAAATATTGGCACTAAACAACTATTTGGTATTTTATAACTTTTTTGTAGATAATAAATACATTTATTTCACATTGATATTCAATTTTATACAGTAGATATTATAGGAGTAACACACAAGGTAACTTATAGAACATTAACATAAATACATGCATAATTATATAAATCACATTATATAAAATTATTTACACTGACATAGTTACATAGACCATGATAGAAATAAAAAGGTAAGTTTAAAACATAAACTTTTATCATTTTATAAATTAATATCTATACATACTACATACATTTATTTGTTATACATTGAAAACAACAGAGTACTATCGATAACTTCAATCTTTACTCAAATAAGGAAGAGTAGTTTAGTTCATCATTTCAAAGAATGGTCAGCTAGCTCTATTAGTTTAGAAATATTTGTTGAATATATGTATATATGTACATACACATTCGAAAAATACATTTCAATAATTTAATTAACAACTCATTACAATTTAAAATGACATCTTTTAATATTTAGTACAAATGATTTTAAGCACATAAAATAAAGATTTATTCGTAATACAATGTCCATTAACATGATATACATGTTTATAAAACAGATGTGACACACTTTCTTAAGTAAATTATTTATATATACAATACATTTCATAGTTGTTTATACACTTACTAATTAGAGTAACACATTAACACATGTTCAGATAGTCACATTTACAAAACATGACAAATATTTTTTAAATAAAAAAATAAACATATTTACAAAAATAAACATATTAAAATTATAAAAATAAAAATTTCTTCTAGAAGATTTAGAGAAAGAAAAAAACAAACAAAAACTAAATAATTGTATAAGACTTTACATCAGTGATTAAGATCACATATGATTGGTTTACTTGTATGTTGTAATAAAGCTTATACCAGAATCATATGCTTACAAAATCATTTAACATCTATTTTTAACTATAAGGCACTAATGGCAAGTATTTTAAACATTATATAAATACCTGAATTAAAAATATCACTTTGTAAACAGGGAAATTTCAGAAATATTATTAAATACCCTGTTAAAGCTAACAAAATTCAAACAGCTAGCAAATAAAGAAATAATGGTATTGATAATGCAGCTCTTCAATTCAAATTTTACTTATTTGGTAAATTTCCATTAAGTTAGTTAAGCTTTCATATATATATATTCATTTTCTTTTCACACTAATGAAATAACAAAAATATAATATTAATCTTATCAATGCCATTATATTGATGTTAAATAAAAATATTACATATGTATATTAAAAACTCAATGTGTCAAAAAATAAAATTTAAGAGGAACTTAACAATAGTCTATATAATGTATAAAACTTGTGTACTAAATATTTATTTTTCATTCAGTACACACTTCTTTGCTATGTTGACAACTTTCTAGCACTACTTCACATAATCAGTAGAATGTACGAGATAATAAATAATTGATAACTAAAAACATTCACTTCTTAACAAATAAATTTCAATCATAAACACTTATTAAGGTCATTAAAATCATTCACTTGGACCACTCTATCACATATATATATATATTATTCATATACATTATATTAACCATTTTAAACTTCGGTACCATCCTCTCCTTCATCTTCAAATAGAGGACCATCTTTCTTGGGTTTAGGTGGTGGTTTTGGAGCAACTTTGGACCTTATAGGCCCAATATCCCCATCAGCTGAACATGTTCTTTTAAGAATACCATCTGCTCTGTTTTCTCTTTCAGGTGATAAAGGAGATGGACTCGGCCTTAAGCCACCTTCAAAGTGGAAATAATTTGGAACATTCGATGAAGAATTTCGTCCTCTCGGATTTTCAGAAAATGATTTATTTAAAGAAAGCACAGAACTACCATCTGCTGTAGTACGAGGACCAAGGTTATCATACACAGGTTCTGCTTTTATAGGAGATAAAGGATCATCTAGAAGAGATGGGGTTGGTGCTGATGACCAACTAGGAACACGAGGTCGACGTGGAATTGTAACATATCCTTGACGTGGAAGAACAATGGGAGCAGTTGGTGAGAAAGGAGAATGAGATCTTGAATAAGGAAGTGTACCACAGTTATAATGAACAGAAGGATTCAAAATAGATTGTTGCATTGCTGGATACAAGGAAGCTCTAGAAAGATTATCAAACCCATTTGATGTAGAACTACTTGCAGGAGAAATATTGTGGCTTCTGGAGGGGAAAGACAGCAAGTCTGGAGGATGAGCTTCAGAAACAGGCTTCTCAACATTGGCTCCTTCTTGTCTAATATCCAAGCATTCAATAGAATTCTCTTCTTCGGTAGGGCAGGTATTACCTATGGAAAAATAATTATTTAATAACAGTACTGAATCCTTAGAATATATATTAAAAATTCTTTATTAAATAAAACTACAACATATTACACTTAGATAGTTTTATTATATTTCATTATAGAAAACTAATAAAAAAAACATTTTCAGATTTTGTTATTGCTTTAGATATAATTGAACGTTTTAGGAGGAATGCTGAATTCATTTCCTATGTGAAATAAAGTACTATCATAATTTATTTTAATTTAATGGAAAACATTTTGGATTTAACTCAATTAGGTTTGTCCAACACTGCAAAAATCTAATAAATTGATTAAGAATTCTTTGGATAAGATAAACATAACATAAGGAGATAGCAGTGTTAAAATTTTAAATTAAGACTAAACAAATATATTTTTAAAAAATCAACTATGCATATACATTATTATTAAGGTGTAGGATTGGTCATAAATCATTTAATAGTATTTCATTAATATTTTTATATTTTTAAAACTATAGTAAGAAAAAAAATTACCCTGTAGTGAATTTTCATCCAGTAATTTTCTATTAAGCTCAGAAATTTCCACAGCATCATTATTAATCTGTGCTTCATACCGTCTAGGAGGCTTTTGAACAGGATTCACAGTCAATAAGCTTTTTTCTTGTTCATTTGATGGCGTAATATGGTGCATTACATCACCATTAGCAGGCATTGCAGTTGCAGATTTTTTTGACTGAGATTGTTTGTGCCGACAGCAATACCAGCAGCACAACAAGAGAATTATGATTAATAAAGCAGCCATTCCTGTGCATAATCCAATAATTAAGGGCCACGAATCATTGACACTTCCTACTCCTATAAAACCATCATTATCAGCATATACAAGGAGAGTCACATTTCTTTCATCTAAACCTCCAGGACTCTTTGCAACACACTGAAACTGGCCTTTATCTTGCAAACCCACTTGATTTACAGTTAAATTAACCCATCTATCAGGTTGTTCAGATGAACCAACCAAACTTGTTTTGATAGTGTATCTGTTTACACTGTACTTTACTTTTGTACTGTCTGATATGATTTTTGAATTATGTACCCAATGAACTTCAGGCATAGGGTCCCCAGTTACTTTACAGCCTAAGCTAACATCTCTGTTATCAGCTGACACTGATGTTCCAGTTGGAGGCCATAATATCTTAGGTTTGCAAGCAAAATCTTTAGCATCAATGACATTCCACATTTTTCCTCGAAGGTGTTCCGGTTGTGTACATGATGTTGGGACTGCATACAAATTTCTTTCTATAACCCAGTTCCTGAAATCTCTCAAATGACAATTACAATTCCATGGATTATCTTGAAGTACTAAACTTCTAAGTTTTAATAAGTCAGAAAATGTAGATAGTTTTAAATGTGTCAGTTTATTAGCATTTAATTTCAAATTTAGCAAGTTAGAGACATTACGAAATGCTTTGTCATCTATTTCAGTTATTTCACAATCACCCATTTCTACAGTCTGCAGATGTAGAAGATTAACAAATAAATTAGCTTCTATCCTTTTAATAGAATTTTCATTAAAATAGAAAATTCTTAATCGGACATTATCTCTAAATGTTCCTGGGTGCAGTACATGTATTCTATTTTCTGAGAGATCTACTTCCACCAGGATCCCCAATCCTTTAAATGTATCTCTGTGGATTTCTTTAATATTGCATTTTCTTAGAAATACTTTATGCAAGTTGACAAGACCAACAGATTTAAATGCTTCATCTGGTAAGTGATCTAAATTGTTTTCTGATAAGTCTAGAGACTGAATTTCGCTTTTAAATGTCTCTGGTATTCTTTTTAAATCAGCTTTCCTGCAATCAGCAGTCTTCCTTCCAGAAACCCACTTGCATTTACAACCAGCAGGGCACAGAGTCCAATCATCAGGTTGCACTACTGCAACTCCAAGGAAGACAAAGAAAACAGCAGTTTTAGCAATATCTAAAAAATAAAAAATGCACAAATTAAAAGAAAGAATAATAATTCGTTTAATATTAGATCAGATATTGCAAAATATATTATTTAACATAAAATTAAAACTAGAAATGTTTCTTAGAAATTTTGGATAATAAAGAAGTATCTTTAAATTGAAGTAAGAATATATAATTTTATTGTTTAGATAAGGATATAAACACAGTAGACATCAAATCATAGTTTACAATTACACATATATTTTTAATTATAGGTATAGTTGTTATAATTATTTTTATATATAATGTAGTAATCTCTCTCTCTCTCTCTCTCTCTCTCTCTATATATATATATATATATATATATATATATATATATATATATATATATATATATATATATATATACCTGAATGTATACTGCAAATTGATTCCTTAGTATACCAATTCAAGTAAAATTAGCATACAAGCCAAAAGTAGCCAACTAATGAATAAAGTAATTGTGCTATTGCATAAGAAGTATTAATTTTGATAAACCATTAACAGGCAATGACTTTGGTGAAAACATTATGTTCTATCAATAGAGAGGTGAGTTTTAGAAACCTGTCTATGAACATGGGAAAAAAAATGTCTATTTTTTCTGACCCTTTTGATATTTGATTGCGTGAGTTTAGTCCAAACTTTATATGAAATTTTTATGTACTATAATAGATATTAAACACTAAAACAAAAAATTAATATTAATATTTAAAGTGGATACAGCAATGGTCAAGATGATATAAAACTACCAGGGTACAATATAATGTATATAACAAAAAAAGTGTGTTATATTTGAATCACATGCATATTAAACTTATCCATCCACTCCTCACCTCCCTCTTCTTGAAATAAATTTAAAATAACAAACTAATTATATACTCCATAAAATCAAAAAAATAGTCCAAAAAAAAAACTTGACAGTACTTGAAAATAATTGGTTACTAACCTGACATTATAATATATATATTTTTTCCTCAGTTTTTAAGTATATAATCTTCAAGTATTCATTTTTGAGAACCTGGAACAAAGTAAAACATAAATTAAAATTACATAAAATATGAAAGGTATTCTAGAAAGTTGGATGGTTTATTGTAAATATATAATTGTAAAAGAAACAATTTATTATATTTAACGATTTTTTAAACTATATAGCTATTTCATTTCATCAGTTATAACCATCATACAAATAAATATACAATAATAAAAATAATAATTTTATGTATAAATATATATATATATATATATATATATATATATACACAGAAAAAGTTTTCATACACGAACTGATAGGGAAATAAAACAATTAACAAAAAAAAATCTTTCATAGATTTTTTTATTTAAACCTTATAACTTCAATATTATTCATCTCAATTTTATCAAAAATATTTGCTTAACAATCAATACATGTATTTTTATGACAAAGTCAAGTATAAAATAAGAATTTTAATATAAAAAAAATTCATACATAGCAATATTATATAGTAATTCATCTATTTTTTTTTAGTCAAAAATTTTAAATTAATATTTTGAATGTAGTCCTTTGTTTTTTAGCACAATTTAGACATTGATTGGATTAAATGTGAAGTCAATTAGGAGGATATTTTTTTCAACAATTTAGTTGTAAGATATTTTATTACTGACGTTATATTTTGATTTCCGAGCTATTACATAGACCCATAAATGTTTAATGGGATCAAAATATAAACTCTGGAGAGAAGTTTTATGATCATTTGGATAATTATATAGAAGCCATTCACATGAGAGGAGAGCTTGGGCTTAAGGGTAGTTAACCTGGTGAAATTTAAATTATTACAGTTCAAAAATCGAAATATGTCAGTAAAATATCTTAAAACTAAATTGTTTAAAGAATGGAGGAAAATGACCTCCCAATCGACAAAAACTTTTTCTGCAATAAAATTCTTATCTAATATTTAAATTTGTATTATAAATATATGTATTTATTGTTGCACAAATAATTCTGAAAAAATTGATAAGAATGGTATTGAAATTATATTTAAGCGTTTAAATAAAAAAATAAATGCATGAAAGTATTTTTTTTATTGCTATCAGTCTGTGTATGAAAACTTTTGCAGGCCACTGTACATATAATACAACAATAACACTTTTAGAGTTAATCTTTTAGTATTTTTTTCATAAGGCATGGTTATATTTATTAGTTGTAAATGCATTATGATTTAAACAATATAACATATTGTTGTCGTTTAAGTATTTAGCTTATATCAATCACAGTAACGCATATGGACCAGTGAAAAATATTTTTTTCATTGGAAGAGGGAATGGGGGAGGCTTCACCACGAAAGTCTGTCTCACGAAAGTCTCACGAAAATTCATCAAATTATTCACTAATTTAAATTTCTAAAAGGTTATATCACGATTTTTCTGGAAAAACGGATGTTGAAACCTGATTATTTAAACTTAATATTAGATCTAGCATTATTAAACTACAGTAAATGTATTTAAGGTTATAAACATATACTTAATACATCCATGAAATATTTTTATTTTTCACTTCTTTTTTCACATAAGTACTATGAAATAGTTGTTTAAACAATATCATTGCCTTGTTTAGGAGAATTTAAAAAAAAAAAAATTAGTTTACCTTCAGTTAGTAAATTTCATTTAATTTTCTTGAAAACATATGATTTCCTTTGAACAATATTAGTTTTCACAAATTATTATTATTAATTTTTCGTGACTCCATTACTTTCCACCAAGGCTTTCTATATTAGGTATTGTTTTTTCTAAAATTCTCCGCTTACAAACAATATATTATACGTATACCTTCTGACTAGTATTTCATCACATTGAACTTTGAAACCAGTACTCTTGAAGAATTATACAAAAATTTTATATCCGCTGTTTTCAGAACGTCTAAGGAAATTAATATAATGTAAAAGTGTAAAACAGAATTTAACAAAGGGAGCATTTATAGGAATAAACCTTGGTATGATAATGAATGCAAGGCACTTAAGAATGACCTGAAAAATTGTTTTTCTAAATGTAAGAAAAATAATTTTATGGGTGATTTCTTATGTAATTTTTTGAAAGTCAATAAAAGAAATTATAATTTAAATATTATTGAAGCTCTCGGAACAAGCAGCAGTAGCTCCACATTTCCAGACTGAGCATTTCCTTAGAAGAATGGGAGAAGTTTTTAAAATGGTGTATCAACCTGAGTTGACATTTAATAATTTTTTTATCGACATTAGACACCCTTTATTAGATGGGGATATGGCTGCTGAAGAAGTAGATAGGGCTCTAATTAAAGTTAAAAATGACAAAAGCCCAGGACTTGATGGTATCCCAAATATAAGTGTATAAGAATCTTCCCCCAAATTGGTCCATATATATATATATATATATATATATATATATATATATATATATATATAGAGAGAGAGAGAGAGAGAGAGAGAGAGAGTTTATTCAATAAAATTCTGAACGAAGAGAAGGGGGCTATCATAAATCATGGGCTAAAATTTTGAGTATGATATCTAAGAAATCACCCCATGTTTCAAGTGTCAAATTCTTTCAAAAGTTATATTTAACATTTTTTCGTAACTCTTGATAATGAGAGATAGTTAATCATTTAAAATAAGCCAAATTAAAGGTACTTTAGAGGAAGACATGTTGAACATTCCAGCATTTAAGCCCTGTTAAGAGACATTAGTGGGGATCAGACCTCAATAATATTAAAGACTACTTAATTATGCAATGATACACCGAGTTTAATCAAAATCATTTTTGAAAAAATTGTAAAAATGTGTTTATGCGATTATATAAAGTGCCACTTTCGGTCTGCTGATTCTGACGAAAAAGTTTCTGTAACATCACATTAATATACAAACCTTAAGTATGCAATTTTAGTTTCTTACGACTTATCGTTTCTGAGCTAGAGTGTTCACATACACACAAACCATTTTGCGAGACTACATTTTTTGGACTCAGGGGACCTCAAAACGTATATTACCGTTGAAAAATCGGATTCGAAAATTTTTACGATCGCAATAATTTCCCTTACTATATATTTCATATATAGGTAATTGAAAGTAAGAATTATGTGATTTAATATAATATTTTCAGCAAACATAACCACCGATAAATCATTACAAAGTTTTAATCCCTTTTTTTCCTATGACTTGACGTATTTTGTGGATATTAAGAACTAAACCACCCTGCACAATAAAAACTAGAAATGTTTCCGCGATTTCTTCATGGCGACTTCTAAAGACTTTTTCCACCTTCAAAATATATAAGTCGTAAACTTATGACTTCGTTTCCTACAGTATCCTTTAACAATACCCCACTCATCCCGGTTGAACAAATCAGTTACCTAGGATTCCACTTGGACAAACGTCTAACTTGGAATCCTCATGCCAGACTGAAACGAAAAGAAACCACTCGACGTTTCCGACTATTTAAGAACTTAGTAGACAGACGCTCTAAGCTTCCAATTAATAACAAAAGACTCATATACATGACTATAATAAGGCCTAATTGGAATTGAGATTTGGGGCTCTACTAAACCATCGAAATCCTCTGGTATCCATTTCTTACAATCCAAAATTCTTTGTAAAATCCTCAATGCTGCTTACTTTGTAACAAATAAAATCATCCACAAAGATCTTAATATTCCTTAGCTCTCGCTCTATCTCCACTGGCTTTAGCATCACTGATGCGGTTGAGAGAGTAGCGCAGGGATCTCTTGGAGTCCTACTTTTCTCTCTATAGTTGGAGGGAAAGCCTGGCTTCGGGTTCCCTGCCTAATTGTATATATAGTATGTAGGTATGATTATGTTTTTAATTTACTTATGTTTAGGTTATTTTAGTTTTGCATTGGATATAATTGTTGATTATTATTTAGTTATTATTTTACTTTTGTTAATTTTAAGTTTTCTGTATATATGGTGTTCATTTCTCTCTATAATTATTGTCCGCGTGACAGATTATTATATTTATGAATAAATAAATAAAATGTTCCATATGTTTTAGATTTGGCCCAATCCAGAAATTAGGTATTGTGACACTATTGTGAGACTCTTCCAATAATTTTAAATGTAACTCGTTAGATTCTTTTCGAGCTTCCTTTTTTTTTTGCTATATTTGTCCAACAACACTCTTATGTGGCCTAAATTCCTTCTAACATAACTTAAACATTGATGTTTAGGTCGTTTTTTAGATAATTTTCGAGAACATGTTTTTTCACCAATTGTAGACATCAGTGTACCAGTAGTAGACAAGGAAACACACCAGTAGTTGACACCACGTAATTAATATATTTAATTTATTTCTAATCAAATATGCTATATTGGCAGTTTTTACCAAGGGAATATGATTTTAAAAAAGTACAAACTTCAAAATGAAATAAATTATTTTTTAATTAAATTACATTTGTAGGTAAAAAGGAATAAGACATTTCCTGGGGAAAATTCGAACACTCCCATGCTTAGAATAGAAATATGAATGGCACAACAAAAAAGTTGAGTTTTCTAGTAGTAGACACTTCTGTCTACTACTGGAACAAGAGGTATTATCAGTATCTCAGTAGTAGACAGTTTGTTTGTGCTCAATCAAACAAAACTAACACACAAAAACACGTTACCTAGTGAATTCATGGTCTACACTATCATTTCGAGAAAAAAAAAACTTTTAAAAATCATGGAACAATAAAAGAATAATTGATGAAAATCAAACTCCCTTCCTTAGCTGATTTGGTAACACAAGGGCCTTGGATGACACTGCAAAGATATCAGTTGTTCTAACCTTTCCACTGCTCACTTGGTTTGCTACCCATTCTAGTGACCACACAGTAAAAGCTAAAGTTTAAAATTACACCAAATTCAAATCATTGTAATGGTTCCAACTCTTATTTTTTTAAGTTAAAGTTTCATGTGTCTACTGCTGGCTTGATGTCGACTATTGGTGTCTTTACCCTATATCCTTCCATAATAAACTTCAGAACCATCCCAACCCTCTCGTTACTCACTTGCTTCCTCC